TCACTTGGCATGGGGTTCGGGCCCGGTGAAGGGCCCCGAGTATTTTTGGTATTTAAGGGGGCGAACGGTGCCATTTGGTAGGTTTAGAAATATGATTCAGCCAGTCAAAATTCTTATTTCAAGAGGGGTCCATCGGTGTGATTTTTTTCAGAAATCGAAGGGGAGGGGCGTCGACCCTGACACCCCCTAAATCCGCCAGTGATAAACGGTATGGTTTCGAAATCAAGAATTATGTTTTTTAGCCTCTGTATCCCATTCATATTATAAATGTATTATGATGCAGGGGTGTAAATGTACGGAGAAGTAGGCTAGATGTAGCTAATCTTGGAGAAATCAAATGAATATCTCTTTCTTTTGACAACATCTGTTGAGGGAACTTTGTGCGATACCAGTGCGTCCCAAAAATGCATTTAAAAAGATAAAATCATTTTGTTACAGGTAACTCCAGGTTCAACGATGACATCAAATTTGTTCTCATGTTTCATTTGCTTAATCTGACCCTTTCCTTATTCTATTTAGATTTTTTCATTATTTTTATTTTTTATGTCTTTAGAACACAAAAGGGGTACGTCAAGACTGTTCTTTCACCAAAATTCAACTTGCATCCTGAAAATATATTCAGAGAAGTCGAAGATATGAAAGGCGTGAATAAATGAGGACTGAACATGAATAATCTGAGATATGCAGATGATACAGCTTTGTTAACTTATTCAGACCTACAAGAGTTAGTAATATCAGTCCATTAAAAAGGAAAATTACATATGGAACGGAAATGAACATTAGAAAAACAAAAAGAAAAGCACCAGTCTAAGGCTGCGTATTATTACAGTGATAATAACTCTTCGTATGAGATCTATATTTCACAATAAAAACAGTGTAAACAACTCACAGAAATATAATATTTTCTGTTTTACCACAAAAAAAAAAAAAAAAAAAAAAAAAAAAACGGCAGTTATAGCTAATTTTGATGTCTGAGCTTGTCATCGAACCACGCGACCTCCATAGATGGCTATATACTCGGAAATAATCTCTAGAAGTTATTACAAAAAAAAAACTTTTAGTAAAAAAAACAGGGACTAACTTTGAATGTTGAAATGGATTCATTAACCATTGGTAAGTATGGGAAAAGTGTTGTTTACTCCAGGAAAATTCTTTTTTTTTTTTAGGGGGGGGAGCAAAACGAACAGTTATTATCCCTTTAAATGTTACATCTGGTCAACACTCTACAGCTCAGAGACATGGACACTAGCAAAAACAACAATGAAAAAAACGGAGACTTTTGAAATGTGGGTATACAAAAAGATATTAAAAATTTTATGGACTGAACACAAAAGTAATTAAGGTTGAGGAAGTATTAAATAATCTAAAAATAAAACATTATTGAACACCATCAAGAAAAGAAAATTAACTTATTTCGGTCATATCATAAGAAAACATCATTTGCAGCATAGGAAGGAAATATTTGTCATAGGAAGGAAATTTAAAGAAGACCCAGAATAATATGGATGGATAAAATAAAGTAATGGACCAGTCCAAAGAAAAAAAAAGAGAGAGAGATAGTGAAATTCTACGAATGGCACAAGAATGAGAGGCATGGCGATCAATGACATGCGGACAGTGGATGGCCCCTCAGTGATGACCATTAAATATGACCCAGCTTGGTTTGGAGCCAGGGAGATAAACTATATGGTTAAATGTTCTGTAGACCACTTATTCTATAAACGCTCTGATGAATGTGATGGAACTTGATGGATTCACAAAGCGTTGAATGTCCGAAAAATAGCTACTAGCATGTCTAATAGCATGTATGTGACCAAAAACGTAGGCCTGCGTGTGAGATACACAATGAAATATACGATTTTTACAGCAAAATAATTCTAATAATTTTCTTGAAAAAATCGACCTTTTTTTTCAACTCCCTCAATGTCTTTCCCCAACAGTTACGGTTGAATATAGTTGAATATAGCACACATTTGTAGTTAAGGGAAAAGAGTTGGATTTTCCAATTTTTTCTGCTTTTGTTAGCGTGAAAAATCAATTAGACTCTATGGAAGAGAATAAAACTTTTCCTGTAGACGTTACCGACAGTGTCCGGTGCCTTTCTTATGGGCTTCATACCTGTGCCATATCTGAGAACATTCCCAGAGACTATCGTACTAACTTTGGATCGAACTTTCTCCAAGGGGATTCTCGCTTAATTGCAATTAACTTAAGCGGCTTAGTTGTCTGAAGCTGATAGGGGATAATTAACTATCGTTCAGCAGCTGTAGCAGGCGTGCCAGACATCTAAGCCACTAAAGCTAAAAGCAATTTAGCGAGAAACCCCCGTGGAGATGGACAGATCCTGTTAGATCGATCTAGGGATGGGAACTCAGTCATAGTGGAGCATTTTCTCTACGAGGTGGCCAAACTTACAGTCACGTGACTCTGATAAGAAGCAGACCGAGAAGATAAAAGGTGAAGTCCGTTATACCCACTGCAGCATCCGCCGTGTGAAGGCTGCCAAGATTCAGAAGATTTAGTCACCTTCAAGTTAATGTGAGTTTTACTTTGTCACTTTATATATACATATATTAGTTTATTGTGAAACTTCTATAACTATTTTTATAATTAAAATATTTTTCCCTTGAATTTGTAAAGGAGTTATATAGTTCTTTGTATAATCATTTACTTTCCTTTATTATCTTTATACAGTTACCGTGATCAAATTCACCGCCAAGAGAGTTACTTTTATTACCAAATCAATGTAGAGGTGTAAACGTGTATGCAAGTTTCTGCATAGTAACATGTGTTCATTAACGCCCTTAAGCTTATTTTGTATAATCATTTACTTGCATCTATAAATTAATTGCGTCTACTGAGTTTTCTGAATAATTGTTTGGTGACATTAATTATCGAAAGTCCTTATTTCTTTCGTTATTTATATAATAATATTCAGTTAACGGCACTTGTACGCGCATTAAACAAAGAAAATCCTCCTGTGTTTGAACTTATTTGGTAATATACTATAAATGTAGCGGATTTGGTTGTTAAAGATAGTCAGAATTTAAAATTTTAAGGCTCTGGTAGCTCTAACTAGACCCCCTAAGTTCACGCGTCAAGTCCAGCTCATTAACAAGATGGAGGTAGATTGAGAAATGCCGAAGTCGCGCAACCGTCCAATCAGATATAATAGAGGCGCATGGAAAGTAACGTGGCGGTGTAGATGACGTTTGTGACTTGGTAATGCCCGATTTTATGACTAAGTCGAAAAAGAGTAACATTTTCTCCTCTCTATCCATCAATAACGAAAGAGAAGTTTCTTGATGTCTACACCAAGGCCAGGTGTGACACACGTGACAGGAACGGTAGTCCGCTAGGAACCGTAGTCCGTCCCCCATTACTTTGTATACGTATAGGTGACATTCGTCTAGTATACTACTCCCAATATGTAACTAAACTGTAGGTCTGTGAAGCGAAAAGTCCGCCCTATTTAATTATAATGATTAGGGTCGGCCTGTCATAAGTGAGTATAAATCTAGGATGAAGTTTGGACATAATAACGAATATGTCCAAGGGTGAAGCTTACCTGTACAAATGAATGGAAAGCAGACTCTCTAGATCTATCATGGGAGACTTCGTCTCGTACGTTACACCGGACTTCCATCCTAGTGCTGCCATTCCTGTAACACCTGTATCCATCACCGAATCGTTTCCGGTCTAGGGCCCAGTGCGTGTGAGTTTTTGCCAGCTCTCATTACTACCTGGTATGTCATTTTGTATTTAAAATAGTAGACAAATATTTGTTGCCTTTTTTCGACAATTTAAAGGTGTAGGCGTAGCTTATGTGGATCTTGAGCCAGTGATACATGTACATATAGTACAATGTGCATGTTGCCATAGTTAAACCCTATATAAGACGTCCTAGCTTTTGCGCATGCATAATTCGTCATTTCATAGTGTCTTACACGACGGCAAGTTTTGGTTGCAGCATATTACAAAACATGGAAGCGTATAAAAGATTGAGTCTCTCGGTACCGATAAAAAAAACTTGCGGTAATTTTTTTCGCGAGGAATGCTATGTAGGCCTATATAGAATATTATTTCGTCAAAGATCATAGCAGGGCTTATGATCAGTAGAATCTGCACGTATATTGTTATGCAGCATTTTTGTAGGAGTTTCGGTGCATATATTACAGAAGGTCAGTGAAGTTGTGTGGAGCGCTAGACTTAACAAAGGATAGCCGAATGGTTAGCACTAGTAGCTTCACAAAAATTAAGTTAGTTCCCTGGCTTAGTTGACTAGGATTTCCATGAGAGTGCTGTGACACTGTTCCTGATAGGGTAAGATGTGTGCATATGTCCATGAGAGTGCTGTAACACTGTTCCTGATAGGGTAAGATGTGCCCATGTGACTATGTGACATATGGAATCAAGGGGAACCTGATTCTTTTAAAATTTATTTATTTATTATATATATATATATATTTTTTTTTTTTGTGAAACTGGGGCCATGTGTACAGGATATTCTGTGCAACAACGACCTATATCCTGCGTGATTAATGTTCTAACTCACACTTATTAGTCACTCAGGAGTAACATGAAATGGGGAAGCCCGGCTGTTTCATACATTGTAGACCCATTGTAATCAGTGTTTGATGTTTTATATAACAAATCATTTTTTTCTATTTTTGAAACTAGATCCTGCTGGACATTCGCTGCACAGTTTTCAAGATGGTCTTCATTTGGCTCATCGTATCGCTCTGCGCTGTACATGCTCAACAAGAGATTCGGATCGGCGGGATACTAACGCTTCCAACCTTTGACGCACTGGTCAAAGCTGCAGAGATGGCTGTCAGCGACATTAACAATGATCAAAGCGTCTTACCGGGCTATAACCTTGTACTGGACATGAGAAATGTAGGTACTTGTTTTGCGTTTCCTGTGGTGTGATTTTTTTTTTTTAGTTTTTGTTTTTAATAAACTGAGTACACAGTTGAATTACAGCTCCTGTGTAGAGTTGTATTTTCCCAAACTTATTCTATTTTACCGTGGCGTCGCTGAACAACTTAATGCTATGAACGTAAGAGTATATATATAACATAAAAGTTTCACTGTCTTAAAAACTTACATAATGATTGAACAGTGCCAAGTTTACCGTATCAACTGAATGTAATGTGTTTAGACTTCAGGCTCTGGCTCTCCAGTGGAAACGGCGCTTTCTCACGTGGACTATTTTGTAAACACGGCCCCAGTGGCTATGTTGTTTGGCCCGGCCTACTCGTCACTGACGCTTCCAACTGCAGCGCGGTCAAGCAATTACAGTTTGATACAGGTGAATATGCACAGTGGTCTGATTGGTGGAGGGCGGAAGGGGGGGGGGGGGCACGTGACACTCTATTTACTTTGGAGGTATTCCCTTATTCCTTAAAAAAAAAAAAAAACAACACACACACATATTAATTGTCCATGTCTGTCGTCATGTATTTACCTGCAAATTAAAGCAAAGTGTATATACGAAAAAAAAGTAGGTTCTGTATATTTCTGCATGCGTAGAAGGTAAGTGACACTCATCAGCGGACTGAGTCCTTTGTGATGACGTAGCTTTTCTATCAGTAACAGATATTTACTGCCCATATTTTAATAAGAGGCATAAAAATAACGATACGCCGTTTCAAATCTGTAGTTATAATTATGGACCTTCAAACAACACTATTTTCTTAAATTCGTATCAATTTAATTTTTGTTAACTAAATAAATGAAATAATTGTAAACCTTATTGAAATATCAATCATAAAACAACAATGCTGATCCCAATTTAAACGCGTTATCAGGCCTTCCCCTGGTGATTGCAAATGGTTTTTGATTAGCATGTACATAAGTTCATACAACACACACATTTAAAATCAAAATATATATCTTATAATTTCCACCACATTTATACCTTCCAAGCTCAGTCCTCTGTCAGCAGACCCCGCACTGGCGAACAAAACCATTTATCCGTATTTCTTCCGGTTGATGGCCAACGTGATGGACTTCAGCCCGGCAGTGGTCGGCTTCATACAGCATTTTGGGTGGAAGAACGTGGCGATCATCAAAGAGTCAAGGACTCCTTATGATGCCGTAAGTATGAAAACGCTATTTAACATTGTGGGCCCTCTTTTTTGGCCTTAGTAGTAGAAGGGGCGTAGCTTGTCCGTCAGAAGCCGACTAGATCGGCTGGTGCACATACATAGTTTGAAAATTATTGTTATTTGATTAACGTTTCTTTAAATGTCATTTGATTTACGTTTCTTCAGTCTCTTTTTCTTGGGAATGCCAATAATAATATGTTGGAACGTGGAATACCTACTAGATATAGGCCTATGGATGGTCGTCAGAATCAAAGATGACGCGATTTATAAGTCCGATTTTTCAGTGTGGGATAGACCGCATATAAAGATACATTTAACGGCAAAACACCTATAGAATTTTTTTGTGTCAAAAATTGCATCTTTTACAGTCTGACTTCTGAAAAAAACATCATGATATCAAGAAACTTGTCATTTCTACTTAAAAATGCCATTGACTTATCCATTTCAGCTCGCAGACGCCGTGAACGCTGATTTAAAGAAGGCAGGCGTGAACGTGGGGACTGTGGCCACCTACAGTGACAGCGACCCCGCTGCCGCGCTTTCAGAAATATTGGTAATTAAGAAACACCGCCAGTTACATGTACATGACATGTGATAGCATTATGTTAATGATGAATGGTTTTCAGCAAGAACATTTTGATTTTCAAAATACAGGTATCTAGTCATTCGTGCTCTGAGAACAATGGGTATTCGTAACGCCCCATAAATGTGTGACGGCATCATTGCGTTTTTCTCATTTACTTAATAATTGCATTAATTTATAAACACCTAATTTCACACAAAATGTTTTAGATGTAATTTAGGGCCTACATGAGATGAATAATGCAAATCAGTTAATGTATTGATTTTGGGTCATAATCTGATTTAGAAACAACTCAAAGCAATGATAATGCTGCAAGGTAATATTTAAATCTGGGAAATGTTTGTTTATTTTCTTGTTTCCGCTTTCAGGCAACCGAAATCAAAGTCATATTTGTTTCTACCTTTCAATCAAAGTACAAATTTATCATGTGTGAGGTAGGTAATTTGATTCAAAAAACATTTTGATTTAAGTTAGCGGGAGCTGACGTCGCCCTTAAAAATTGTAGCATAATATGCCATCTTTTTGACAAAAAAGGGATTTTCCGGGGTTAACGGCGGTTTTTCTATATTTAACTATTATAATGAATCCATTTCAATGTTCAAAGTTAGTCCATGTTTTTTTCTAAAAAGTTAGTCTTTTTTTCATTGTAATAGGCCTAATATCACAAGAGAATATTCTTAAGAGTTTTTTTAATTATATATTACGGGGGTATAACCATCTATGAAGGTCCACATGGTCTGATGACCAGCACAGATTCCAGAATAATTGCGATTACCGCTGTTTTGGTGGTAAAATGGAATTTATTATATTTCTTTAATTTGTTTACAACGTGAAATATGAATCTCATACAAACAGTTGTTGTCCCTTAAAACCTTATACAGTGAGTCGAATACCCCATACTGTTTTAATTCGAATTTTAAACCACCATAGGGTTTTTTAATTCCTAGGCATTCAAAAAGGGGATGTACGGCTCAAAATATCTTTGGATTAAAGCGCCCAGTCCTGTCTTGAACATGTGGGAGTTCTACGGCCGCGGGGATGTCCCGAGTGACTGCACGGCGCAGGAAGTGGTGTCCAGCATGGAAGGCGATGTTCACCTGTGGGTGCAGGATCTTCTCGATCTGGATGCAGAACCAGAGTTGAAAGACACGGTGTCGGGACGGGTAATTGTGATAGTTTTCTCTTCGACGACTACGTACATGATTGACATCAGTCTGGCTAACATGTGCCTTTAAGTTAAAAAGTTAATAGTAGGCCTAAATAAAGTAGGCCTAAATAAATGAATAAATATTGTAGGCCTACAGTGTAGGGTCCACATAGACCTGCCAGTTTCGACCAATATTCGTTTTTCATTTCAAAATCCAGAGTTGAAACAATGCGCATATTCAGTGCAACATGTCGCTTCTCACCTGACACATCAAACGCAATTTTACCTACTCGCATACCATTGCTCGACCCGTCCCTGCACTCGTATTCGATGTTTTAATCCATTTTAATCTAATGATTTAGTACTTACTAAATAGCCAGTTATTTAGAACGCCATGTCTTTCTCTTCATTTCAGAAGGAACTAACAACGTCAGTGCCAGTACTTTTATTTTATTTGAGAGGTTATGTAATTTTTAAGGTCTGAAGTGGGGAAAAATTACTGGCTTTGCAAGATATGTAGACGTTAAAACATGACTTTGGGGAATTTATAAACGTGTCCAATATACCTTTTAGTACAGTTTGAATATAATGGATAGTACATGTATAATGAATGAAATATATATTACGATATTTTACTGTTTTAGGATGCAAAGGCATTTGTAGGCGACATAAGGTCCAGCACGCCTTTCGGTTTCCGTGACGCCATCCTGACGCAGAGTTACGACGCAATATGGTCCATAGCGTTGGCTTTGAATAATTCTCTGCCAGCGTTACCAGGGAATCCCGGGACCAAAATGGAACGACTGTACGGCCGCGGTGCCTCCGAGATTATCAGCAGTGAGATGAAGAAAATGAAGTTTACTGGTCTGTCGGTAAGTTGAACACTGTGCTCATGGTATCTTTTATATAGGCCTACTGCCAGTATCGTAAGCTTGTCAACGCTAAGGCGACGGTTTTCTTAATTTTCTGACGTACACTGGCGATGCCTGTGTGTTTTTTTACCTTAAGGCGGTTCTTTTAGTTCGTGGGAATGAACATTGTCACAATTTGAGATAATGCTGTCACATGAAAAATACATCAGGGTAAATTTGATATTTTAGCTGATGACGTGAGAGCAGCGTTTTTGGGGTAAAAACTTTACTATCGCTTTCAGTTAAATCTCCCTCACCTGAACAGCTGCAGCTAACAACGAGCTATTTTGCCAAGAGTCACTTTTGAGAGTCATGTCAGCATTTATGATTTCTCGAACCCACCTGACGTAAAAAAACTATTATAATTATCTTCACATGTGAAAATCTTCCTCCAAGTCTAATTATGTCATATCTTGTGGCAAAACGTCAATTTTTCTCAAACGGATGTCAACTTGATCTTAAACTGCATAAATGTGTATGAACTGGCCAATATAACTGATTCCTGTTATATCGATTCAGCACTAGAGAACAATCAAGGATTAGCGATAGCATTTTATCGAGTTTTGCATAGTAATGCTGGAGTGCTGGATCTACAAATTAAAATTTGAGACTAGCGTTTACCCTGGTTGATTCCCTTTAACACATTATTTTGACTATAGGGTCATGTGGCATTCAAAGCATCTGGAGACCGAGAAGGCGACATCGTGATACAACAGGTCATCAGTAAGTACTTCAATGAAACGTTTTGTCACACCAGTTTTCGTAATAATATCTAACGCAGTTACATCGGAGAGCGAGCACTATCTCTCATAAATTACAAACCAGCCAAATGATCAGCCACTTAATGCAGCATGGCTTTAAGAAGCTAGCGTGAGAATTATGGAGTCTAAATATTGACAGTCTGAACCTGTATTAATAGATTTAGACATTATTTACTCAATATGTTCATGTAGCATTTGATACAACTGGAGGTCGGGAAGGTGACATCGTGATACAACAGGTTATCAGTTACTACTTACTTAAAGAAGCTGACTGACGTGAGAATTTTGAAATCTCAACCTTGGCAGTCTCAACCTGACTTCAGAGCATCCTTTAAAAATTAGAGACCCAAAATTTGATCTTCGGGAGACATTTCACCAATTTAACTCTGTAGAAAAGACCACTTTTGCGCCAAAGTCCTCTACTCTATAAACACGCCTTAAGCCAGCAATGATACATATAAAACAACGATAGATAATGCAGTTTTTTTCCTCAATCATCAGCTAGTATTGAAATTGTTGTTTATGTAATGTTAGTAGTTGACAGCCACGAGTGAATGAGGAGCGGGGGTGTTTTGTAGAGTAGCTGAGTTGTTTGACATGCTCTTATGGTACTTATACAACTGCATGCAATGTAAACAGGGAGAAAGCCGCTAGAGATTGCATGAGGTAGAGATAAAAATGGAAAGAAAGGGGCGCGGGAACCAACTGGAAAGTAGTTGATAAATAAAATGAAATATTATAACAGAGTAACAGCAAAACATAAAGACAACAACTTCGTCACATAATTTACTACCATTTTTTTCAATAACTTGGATAGCCTCATTCCCTGATGAAGGTGCGCTGGCTAGACATCTAAATATTGGAGTTTCAATACTAGCTGCTAATGAAGAAAAAACACTGCTTTATTCTTGGTGCATAACATTTTTCAATTTCTTTTCTGAAATGATAAATGATATCTTCATTTACAGACGGCACAATCGAGAGTCACATCGCAGTGTCTCACGAAGAGAATGGAGAAAGGACTCTCATATTTGAAATGTCCGACAAAGAGATATGGCAATCTAAAGGTGAGGGATAAGATTATACACTGAAGAAAACCTAGCATCATGGGTAAAGTTAAATGGCACGCCAAAACACACAATCCATGGGGGCGCCCTGTCAGTTTCAGAGTGGAAGGAAGATTATTCTCTACGTTAGCTAACGAAAACCAAAACCGCCCGTGGGACGGTTGGCTAGGGGTGTTTAAGGGTTTCAGTCCTCACTGTGGGACTAACTGGGATTGAAAGTAGTTTTTCCAATAATATCAAAGTGTAAGATAGCTAAAAACTATAGGCCTACTTAAAATAAAAATGTCCATTGGTAGTTCCTTTTTCATGTGGTCGACCAGTGGAGGCCAAGGCGTGAGTATGATACATATGCTTTAATTGCACACATTTTACATCAACCATTGACCGTTTTGACTGTTTTGAGATATGGATACCAAAGGATGGCAATTATCTGTATTAGAGTTTTTTGTGCATTCACACGCTTTGTACCTTATTATTCAACATTGAATATTTAAAAATATTTATATCTAAAATGTAATTCTGTCATTTGCAAATATTAGCCTGGGAATCGAGATATTGAAAAGAATGGTCATTTGTCCAGTGTGTGATTCTATTTTCCCGCCATTAAAATTTCAGGTGGGGTGAAGCCTGTGGACCTGGTCACAGGAACCGGAAGCGCACTATTTCCCACAAGGCTCTGCATAGTTGCTATGGTTACCAGTTCCTTGTTCACCGTCATGGCAGCGGTTCTACCCTGAAAACAGTCTATCAGTTAGATCTAGGCCTACTGGCATGAACTATCTCAGTTACAAATACTTACCGCTATTTTTTACAATAATTCTCTAAGTGTGTTGGACATTATTTGCTCATTACCGTTTTGTATAAAATGCTAATTCATATATGGTGAGACTTTTAATTAGACGGGTTATGTTTTAGGATATATAGTTATCCAATCTTTTACGTATGCAAAAGCCTACGTTTTTTTTCATTAAATAGACAAAAGAATTACACGGCAATTACTTCTCAATGACGTGGTACAATATCAAAATGTGAGCCTCGTGTTAATTTTGTCAAACATATAAATTAAAATGCTAAGTATATTCTTATGGATGCTGTGTATATTTTTTGGCACTGAAATCACAATAGGATTTTCAGTTGTTGCCTCTTGTTTATCAGTTTTCATTTTCAGTACTTGTCATGCGTTTAAATCCAAAGACGTAAATAAAGGACCTACTCTAGAAGTTCGGGTGTTTAGTTAAACGTGTAGGCCTAATACTTAAAAGGCCTAGGCCTATTTATAATAATTAAAATTAGACCAGTTTAAAACTATGCCTACGTATTCGTTAATAATACGCATTCGTACCTTTTAATATATCGTTCAGTTCATCATTCTCGGAAGCTCCTTCACAAAACTGCTGCAAATGTTCCAATCTCTTCGTTGCCCTGGCTTCAAGCTCTGTCATGTTATTTCTGTGCGCGATGTCTTGTGCGGCATGTGCATATTGTCGTGAACGTTCGTACCTCCGATGCCTGTAGCAAAGATCACTCTGCGCCAATTTGTAGTAAGGTTCCAAAAGGCCTGGAACGCCGTAATCTGAATTTTCAACCTTACTGAGAAGATTTTCCGCAGCTTTTATGTCCTCAAAACTTCTCGGAATGTTCCGCATTGATTCACTTTCGCAGCTCAGGTGGAGAAGCGCTTTGTGAATGGACGTGTTATTATACCCGTGGGGACCGTCAGTGCCCTCCTCGGCGGAAAAGTCTTCCAGAGCGTGGTTAAAACAATTGTGACACTCCTCTTCGAGTATTTTGAAAGTGTCTGGGTTCTCGCTTTGCTCTGTCACCCACAGTATGCGTGCTCTATATATCCCTGCACACATGTTTATCCAACCAGCCGTTCTTCCTTTAAGTAACTGCTCAGAAACTCGCACTGCTCTCAAAGCAGAATTCACAAAATCTTCTTTCAAATCGGGCGTTGCTCTTACGGTATAGTGTAAAGCGGGAATCATTTTACTTATCTCGAAATAATCCCGGTCAGATGTGTGAGGTATTATACCGTCCATTGTGTCCAGCAGCATTTTCGCTTTTTCAATTTCATCGTGGTATAAACTATCTTCAATTTGAAGATATATCAAATAAAACTGAACATCTGGCTTAGCTAATTTTGGGGATGCAGCCGCGGGAGCGTTCAGCCATTGTGTCGTCTTTTCCACCAAGTTGTTCAATTTAATCCTTTCTCTTTGCGCCAGCAACTTACTTCCTTGATCATATATTTTCAAGATGAGAGCGTGCTCTTTGCGTTGAAAGGTCACGGAAATTCCCGGAACCAGGAACATTGTTGGCGCGAAAACTTGTGAGGTCTTACCAGCCAACTCTACCTCTCTAAGCGACGGCAACTTTGTTTTGTCGCGGATTAGAGTCGCCAAACGTACATGAAAATCTTCATGCGTAAAACGGAGATAAGTAAATGATATGAGTGAGATTGGCAAATCCTTTATTTTTATGTTCAAAATAACAGGAATTATCCATTCCCATGATTCACATCTAGTTCCCAGCACGGTGTAAACAGTCATCGTGTATAGCTGAGAGGTTAGAAAGTTTTTAGAAACAAAGACGACCATTTTTTTGGAATTCGTAATTGCACGTTCAATATTTTGTAATTCTGACATCCCCGGTATGAAATCCCGTTTTCTGAACACACACGTGATACCGTCCCTTTCTAAATATTCCAACACGTCGATCACCAAATCCTCGTCTTCCTCGCAGTAGTGGAGGAATGCGTCATGCTTTGGCTCGGCCATGCCACTTCAGATGAATGTTCTTCCGCTAATGATGTATTGTCCTCTGCTCGCACTTAACTGGCGGAAGTTGAGGCCTTCCCATCGCGAGCACTGTCATCAAGCAAACGCGGATTTCAGAGGTTTAGAAGCAAGTGTCCATTTCACGACGACCATGTCATTAAGTGCACTGTAGAATGATCCTCCAAATGCACTGATACTGAAAGTCTCTAAGCCATGTTTTGTTGTACCACGATCAGCTGTTTTTCCCCAACACTCACTTGTTTAGGCCTTGCGATGAGTGGCCGTTGTTTTCTTTGCTGCATCGACATGCGACAAGTACGTGGTATCGAAGAACAAATACATTGATCAGCTCCCCGAGATAATGATATAAACCCTCTCACTGCCTAGTTTTTTGATGACCGCGATTAACGCCAACTCCTATATGTGCTTTTCACTTCGCACTTATCTTGAATTAAGTGGTTTATCGTAACTCAGGTTAACGCCTTTAAGCAGTATTCATTCACCAATACAGTGGCCAGTACATGTTTAATGATTGTCATAATCGATAACTGAATCACCAACAAAAGGGATTTCTTTACGAGTATAATAAGAAAAAAAATCCCCAGTATCGATACTAGTATTGTATGGAGGTTTGAACTGGTGCCAAATGATAAAATAATAGACAGGTGACGCAGTCCTTTCTACATTAATTACTTATGAAAATATCTATAGCTAGACCTTACCAAGACGGTGTGAATAGGCCGTTCAAAATAACTTTCGGATCGTGAAGTGTTAACATTATCATATGTACGGATTATGGCAAATATAATTGACATGCGTTGATTATTTTTGAGCTGATAGTTGTCTCAACATAATCAATATCATGGTTCAACAGCCAAGGTGATGCTGTATAGTACTGAAGGCCAAGAAGCACGACAAAATCGCTTAAAGAACCTGTGATTTAACTATCACGGAATTGTAAACTTTGACATAAAACTTTAACGTACGTACGACGCAATATAACAAGTGAGAAAGCTAAAAATCTAAACTGTTAGATGTTCGGGTGGTATGGCCTTGTATTTACGTATTTGTCGTTTATTTACTTTTTAACTGTGCATTTCAGAATCCCGAGGTATAGCTCCGTGGGATTGATCACGTCAATAAATTAGACGTCCTTCAATGGTAATACAAAGTGATAACGACAAATCACAACTTTAAGCAGCTGACAAATTTTATTCGAATATGTTGCATACAATGAAGTGATAAAGTACAAATATCGCACTGCAAAAAAGTACAATACAACCGTCACGACTGCGACGGAACGACGCCTACTTGGGTTCATCTAAAACTACTAGGTATGGAGGTATGTAGGACTATAGGAACTTTGTAGCACACGGGTTTTAGTTTTTCACTATGCCGCCATTGAAAACAGGTGCGACAGGAATGGTACAGTGTAGGTAGTCCGCTAGGAACCGTAGTCCGTTGCCCCTTACTTTGTACGGGTGACACTCGTCCCATATTTTCACGCCGTTTCTCCCAGCTAACCCTAACTCGTGCTAATCACTTGGGACCCCTGAATACCATTCCTGTCACACTGGTAATCCTTAACTGCAGAAGTCGCTTCCCGACAACGACTATTTTTCAGTTCTTCTAACACACAATTTGACTACCTACGGTATACCTATCATATTACATATGCTGAACAATGTATTTATCTCGTAAATTGTGGCAAAATACGTCAATAGTATAAAAATGAACTTTAAAATTTCCACAATAATTTGATACTTTTGGTAGTCAAGATCGTGGGTTTTGTTTCTACTGTGCATACCAAAAAACGTAAAGACCTGCTAATCACAACCGAATTTTTCAGATAATTGAATTTTCATCTTACCACTTATCGGGATATATTCGCCCAGAAAAGAACTCGTATCAATAAATGGCACGGGTGTTGTAAATGCAGTGTCATTTTCTATGGATAATGTCCTTTAGTGAATTTTTACGTGTAGGATGGGAAGCATGCGTTAAGAAACTGATATTTTTGACAAGTTTAAATCTGACCGATCAACATAAAGGCTTATACACATACTGTCTGCTTTTACTAATCAAATTGTTGGTTTTTACATGCCATATATTAGACCCAGGGCATCTTAGCGACATGGAGCATTTGGCAACATCTTTTATCGTTCAGAGGCGAAACGTTCATAGGCGATACAATAAATTTCATAGCCGTTAGCCAGTAAAAAGAAGTTTCAATAACATTTACATTCCAATGACATTGTGATGAATTCCAACATTTAATTTGCCACAAGCGCTTTTTTTAAATTGTCAGTTAACGTAATTTCCATAGTACAAAATTTAAAGCTTATAATATAAATATTGGTTTGCTGCACAATATACATTTACAAAACATGTACTATGTAATTCACAAAACAGGGATACATTGCAATATTACACAATAGTGAATGGCTACCTGACGTATGAATAGAATAATATCTCAAGAGATGGAGTTATCTTTGGGACTAACGAGTTAAAATGTCACAATACCCAAACCCGTTCATCAGGCCATCATCTTCTTTAAGTTGTACGTTTTTTAATTTGCCCGCAAGTTTTATTTTCTTTACTTTTTACTTTGCATCTGAACCATGTAAAAACTAAAACAATGTCTTTCATGCTTCTGAAAATTGTTCTCAAGCAAATAACCATGACAGTAGTACACGTTGTTCTAGTCTTGCTTCAAAAGTATAAGTACTTGTAAAATATTACCTATTCAACCCTAGTTAAAAAAAAAACCTTTCAAAACAAATTTCTGTTTCTTAACAAATCTAAATTTAAATACTTTTAAAGACTAATTATCAAAAATTTGCATCGACCTGCATAACTTTTCTTTGGAGATATTGTGTAATGAAACACTGGCAGTAAAAAGATATGTTAGTCTTACATTCTGCAAGTGTAGCAGACAAGCAAGATAAGAAAACAAGGGAAAGGAATGAAAATTGATGTATGACATGATAGACATCAAATGCTTTAGCACAGTCAACCAACCAACAAACAACATCCTCCGTTGAAAAACGACTGCAAATAAGGCCTGCTCTGCATTGCCAGTCTACAAACTGCCTATTTTTTTCCATATATATATAATGTTATGTAACAGACACTGATGGATTAGCATGCTTACAACTACAGATATATTGTAGACCAAGCCATATACAGGAGTTTCCACGACTGTTATGCTATCTCTAACAACTTACGCACTTTATATCTAAATCTAGGTAGCACAGCTAACAGCATAGCAAAAATGAAAATAATTACAATACAATTTACTGTAAAGAATAAACAAAAAAATGAGAGGTCAGAGTTATTACTACATACAAAGACACCATATGTATTCCATCTATAAATGCTCTAAATAAGCTAGGATTTCCAACCCTATAAAAACACTTTTATGAAGATGTAGAACTCCTCGTTTGGTTATTGTTGTTGTTTACAAAGTGACAACAGGGAAGTCGCCCAGGTCCTCGTCGCTGACTCCACTGCTGAAGTTTTTAGGATGTTTTACCTTCTGAATCAAGATCGACATGGAGGTGAGGTCGCCATCAGCCTTCTGAAGCTCTGAGATATCCTGCGCATAGCGGTTCTGGAAATCTAGCTTATTCTCGATAATCTTTATGAAAAGGGAAAAGAAAAAATAGTGTTGTAAGAAAAAACTCTTGATGATGAAGTTGAATATGCTGATAAATGTAAAATAGATTTTGGTAAATTAAAACAAGAAACTTTGAAGAATTACTGTCTTAATCTTATAAAGTTATATTAAATACTATCTTAATATATCTAATTAATTCATCAAGACTGCCAAAGATCTAAATATTACAAATAACATAACTTGAAGGGCTAAATAATTTACTACAGTCAAATATGGAACATTACATATGTGGAGAGAGGGGGTGGGGGGGGGGGAACATTAAATAGAATGCAAAAAAAGAAAATGGTTACCAGCGGGTTATTCAACCAAAATAGTTATGGCCCAAAATAAATCAGACTCGGGGGGGAAAATTCCTTTCACCATAAAATAATTAGGCTCAAAAATTGACCAAAGCAAGCAAGTCAACCCACATTTCAAAGCTTTAAATAGTTGTTTAAATAAAAAAAAAGCAATCCATTTGTTTCAATAAAAACAGGTTAAATCAAGATTTCCATTGCACAACACACTGCTTACTTCCTATACCAAAACACTCGTCCAAAAACCAAATAAAAAGCATGCTAATGAAATGGCACACGTTCAACACTATACCACACAAATTCATCTCTTCCAAACTCTTCTTTAGTGCATTCTTTACCACAAACTGATATCCAAGAACTCATTCCACTCACACACACACACACACAAATGTTCACACAAACAGAACAAAAGACATGTCAGCTGTCACTCTGCCCTCAAAGCATTGAAAACCTGAAAAGTAACTCAAGACAAAAAGTGCAGAACAGCCTTGAGAACGGCTTGCAAGTGCTTGATGGTGTCTGCCCAGTAACATGCCAGAAAATAAATACACGATTATTGGCACTCCCAATAACTTAGAAC